AGACCAATGAGAGAGAGAGAGAGAGAGAGAGAGAGAGAGAGAGAGAGAGAGAGAGAGAGAGAGAGAGAGACCAATGAGAGAGAGACCTCTCTCTCTCTCTCTCTCTCTGAGCATGTTTGATTTTGTCATGTCACGTTATAATATCCTATTGTCTATAAATGTTCGAAGGGATAGACAATAGCGGGCACGGCCGGCTGCGGGTGAAAAGATACTACATCCCGGGTGCGGGCGGACAATGATTTTGTTGTGGGTGCGGGTGGGTCTGGGTGAACCTTTTTTACGGGTAGCGGGTGGGTTGGGCGTGGGCGGAAAAATTCGAAAAAATGCTTGGGTGGGTTGGATGAGCTTCAAACCTTTTTTTTCTTTTTTTTCTTAGGGTGGCATGTACTAAGAAAATTTTGGGTGGGTTGGGTGAAGTGGCATTTAAAAGAAAAAATGCTCATCTCTGCCATGCAGACCACCATATCCAGGTAAGCACCCCCACCACTCTCCTTCTTGCTCACCGTCTTCCTCCTCCTATTCCTTCTTCCCCGGAGTCTCCTCCTTGGTCCTCTCCACCATAGCTAATGTGGCGGGGCAAGCCTGTCTTCTTCCCCCCAGCGCTCCAAAACTGAGCGCTCCCCCCTCCAGCGTGACGCCCAAACTTCACGCTGCAAAATGAGGAGCTCTTTGATCTCCCTGAAGATATACCAGCCTACTTGCTTCTTCGAGCGGCGATTTTTTCCAGGCTGCGCGGCCTCTCAAGCTACCGGTACCTTTCCCGTTTCAGAGGGAAACATCATTGCAGTCCGATATCCCTTACCTACCTACCTGCTACTTGAGTGTTTTCCATCCTACGCGGGCCTAGCCCACTTCTAAGTTCCTGCTGCACCCTCACAAAAGCACGGCCACAGGTAGGTAAGTACCAGGCCCGAGGGCCTTCAGAGCGCACACAAGTACCCTGGCAGGTCACACACACACCCAAGCAATCATGCAGTCAGACAAACACACGGAAACTCAGCAATCGTGCACACACGCGCACTTAGAAATCTCAGCAGAAGACGGGAATCTCAGCAAGCCACTCAGTTCATCGGCAAAACTCAGAAAACAGCAGAGTTCTCAGTCTGTGATTTGTTTTTGCAGGTCATTACATAAGTTTTTATAACACCAAGGGTGCAGTCCTCAGCATTATTATATCCATGGGAGGTACACGAATGGCATGTTTTGGTGCTGCGATGGCACCGGCATTCCTTTATTTATTTGTTTCTTTATTTTGGGTTTTAAATTTTAATCAAAGGTGCGCACTGTGCAGCCACTACCATTATTACATCCACAACAAGGGTCTGATCTCTTGACCTGTTTCTTCATAGGGCGCACTCAGACTGCCATCTTCACCTGCATAGAACCCCTAGTCATTATAGCTGTATTTTGGGCAACTTTCAGTCTAGGTACAGACAGCCATAATGACCAGGTATTCTATTCGGGTGAAGACGGTTGGACTTTTCAACCCAGCTCGGGACGTAATTTCCGTCAGATACAGTCAGACTCGGCCGTAATTGCAGTCAGATTTCTCTAGCAAAGTCCTAGTTCGAGTATGCATGCCCTCAGATACATTTCTGCGCACCATTCAACAACTACCACGTTTTTGGCCCCAAGCTGGCATGAAGATTTGCTGACCTTGATTTGCCTGGGTGGGTGTGTGGTTGTGTGAAGCTTGAAGAATTGTTTAACAATTGCGATCTGAACAAGGACGGAACTGTTTGCGTTGACGAACTTGCAAACCTTATTGTTAGTGCAGACAGTGAAGACTTCAGGTGAGACTGGCGCCGAAATCCAAATCCTTTGCGGTCTTTTCATTGATAAGAGTAACAGTTAGTCTGAATTTCTTTTTTTTTTCCCCTTTTTCTTTCCTAATTCCGACCATTTCTCAATTTAATTGTCTCATCCTTGTACAGGGGCCATGCGAATCTTCTCACTATCATTCTCCATTTTTTATTTTTTATTTTATTATTATTATATATATATTTTTGAACAGGTCCTTCTGGTCCTGGCTCCATATCCATTCGGGGAGCATCAGCCCGGTTCACCGATGTCCCGAAGGACATATCGCTGTTGTTGTTGTTGTTGTTGTTGTTTTTTTTTTTTTTTTTTTTTTTAATTCCTCCACAAAACGGGTATTCTGAAAAACCACAGAGTTGCTCGTGCAAACCGGTCCAGTTATTTTCCTCCCCCCATGTTTCTTGCAAATCGACTTCGTGGTGATGTGATGTGGTGTGAAGTACGGCTCAGCGCGCTTCGTCGTATCGGGCCATTTATACCTCTCTAATCTATGGTTGGAAAACAAAAGAATTGGCATCAACGGGGACCTCAGCCCCGTTCCCCTCTGGCAAACAGGGAAGCGAGGCAAGGTTCTTGCTGAGGAGGAGGAAGAGGTGGAGTTGGAGGCGGATTATGAGGAGGAAGACGGGAGAGCCCAAGGAGAAAAGAGGGGTTGATGAAGGATCTGGAGAAAGAGAAAGAGAAAGAGAAGCAGACGGAGTTGCGGATAAGGGTTTGCCGAACTTTGTCGAGAAACAGTGAATTTTTCCAATGTGAGAGAACAGGGGTCATATATATACCCCACCTCCTAAACAGATTCTTTCAGAAGTGACTCGATTCCAGATTACTGCAAAGCGGATTCTTCACAGCTTTGTCTCTTTCTCAGGATTTGTAAAACACCCGATTGATTGCGAACAAAACGGGCCGTGTTGCCGAACTGGTTATGGCCAACTGTCTGTTCTGTCACATACTGGTTATGGCTAACAAACTGATTTGTCCGAGCTGGTCATGGCCAACTGTCTGTTTTGCCAAACTTGTCCCTATACCCCAGTACTGCAATGCACAAATTGTTGCTCTGCCCACAGTTCTGACTATGGATTCTTGGGACCTAACTGTTTTTTCCTTTTTCTGGGACGTATATGCCAACTACTGGAATGTTGCAATTGCCGAAATACCCCTCTACCGGGTCATGCAAATTGTTCGTACACCCAAATGCAACTCTCCCTCTCCCCACCTCTCGCTTTCTCTCTCTCTCTCTCTCTCTCTCTCTCTCTCTCTCTCTCTCTCTCTCTCTCTCTCTCTCTCTCTCTCTCTNCCCATCCCCAAAAGTTTCTCATTGGATTTGGGCTGTACTCAGCAAGCACAGTACAGCCCCCAACTCAGATTTGAAAAAAAATCAGTGGACGCACTGGACGGTTGTTTTCTGACTGGTCGGCAGAACGCCGACCGGTCGGCCCTACTGGTCGGCTGCAATACGGTCGCCGGTCAGGGTTGCCGGTCGGCGTAGACTTGGGTGTAGACTGAAGGAATATCTTGTTCGTAACTTTGCACTTAAATGTGACTGATTCGGTTGAGTGAACAATTAATAATTAATAATTATTGATTTCAATCATCCAATCAGTTGACTTATTTGACTTGGTGAATGATACTGCAGTCGAATTTATGGCAGTTTTTTTTGCTTTGTCCAGACTTGCGGAATGAAGGATGTGGTGGTTGACCTGTTTCTGCATTTTTTTCTGCAGATGGATGTTCAAGATGAGTGAATGGCTGACATTTGGAGACTATGAAGCTGGAGCTGATAAGCGAGGAAGAGCCAGCACTATTTTGGTATTTGATCGCAACCAAAAACGACTTGTCGAAGAACTAATCGACAACAAGATTGTGCTTGCAATGCGCGCGATCTATCAGTCAAAGATGGGCAAGGTGCTTCTCGAATCAGGTACAAGAAATAGCATGTGTGTGTCATGAAGTGAACAAATAGAAGAAGAAGAAAAGAACAAGAAGACTCTGGGAACACTTTACTCAGAAGGGTTGAAAAGGGGAATGTGTAGTGAAGATCTGTGTCGCACCCTGTTCACGTACGGGGGAAGAACGCATACATTCTCCGGAGTATGCGTGTGTACTCCAAAAATCGTAGACCGCAAAGTTGCGCAAACGTGTTAAAAAAAAAAAAAACACAGAAAAACCTGAACAGGGAAAATAGCGGTTAGCTTAACAGGAGAATGCTCGTCTGGCACTCTATTTTACGATGAACAGTAAGCCTTCTTCAGGTTCTTAACTTTTTATCCTTTGGTAGCCTGTTACATACTTCAATGAGTATGGGCAGAACCAAAGATCAACCAATGTAGGATGAGCATGTATGCAGCGGAAGTCTGATAAACGGACTGACTCACATCTGTCTCTTATACACATCTAGATGTGTATAAGAGACAGCACACACACACACATGCACACGCATAGACATACACTGTGCCTGTGTCTTTTTGTGAAGTTTTCAGAGAATGAAGAGCTTCTCTGTGGGCCTTGGGGTTGTGAATATAGGTGTTAGAATTGTGTGGGACAATGGCTGTACATTTTGCAGATGGAATCATTTTGCCGATTTCTGAAAGACACGTGGAACCATGTGCCCATTTTTTTCTTACAGGTAGATTTGCCTGTTGACGGTTGTTGTTTTGTTTGTCTTTTGTGCACTGTGCAGTGCGTTTACGGTAAAACAATGCCCGGTTTGCGGAGAGAGTCTCAAAGACTACGATGACTTGAACGATATCATTCATATGTCTCTCTGTTTCAATGAGGATCCATTTGATCAGACCATGACGGGCGGTTTCTTGACGGATAAGCAAGCAGCCAATGGGTAATTTACCGACTTTACATCCAATGAACCGGGACAGCTACAGACTGAGAAATCTGCATTTCTTGAGGGCATACTCACACTAGCACTTTTCTAAATGTATCTGACTGCAATTGCGGCCAACCTGGACGAGTCTGACTGCAATCGCGTCCAGAGCTCAGTAGAAAAAGTTATAGTGTGAGCATGCCCTGAGAAAAGTTACTGTCTTTGATCTGTTTGCTCAAGTTTGCTGAGTTTCTGAGTAAGTATGTGACCTGCTGGTGATGTATGTATGCCGTGTGCTCGACTGTGTCTAAGTTTGTGCACCCAAGCTAACTCTGTTTTCCATGCTGGTTGTGTGCCTCAGATGGGTAGGTTAGCGAATAGGTGTAGATGCAGGGACAGACCTCAAATTCGGCTATGAAGAGGTGGTACTGGATTGTAGAAGGCTAGGGGTAGATGTAGAAGTTGTCTGGGTTTACGATACGCCTTTTCCAGGAACCCGGCTGGGCCCAGGTAGGTCCAGTAGGCTTAGGAGAAGTCCGGTAGATTCCAAAAGGTCATGATGGTCCAGGGCCTGTATGTAGATACCTACCAGACTAAAATCAGGCCTGCCTGACAAGCCGTTGGTTGTGTGTTTGATTCTCGGATTGGACATGCCTAGGGGTAGATTGCAAACTGCAATGATGTTCCTGCCTCGGTACACCTCGGGCACAGGTAGAGGCATGTTGATCTGGAGTAGAGGTGCTGGAGGCGGAGCGTCACAAGTAAATCATTCGGTGCACTTTGGGTAGACTGGACGTTTGGCTTACAGTCATGCTGCTGCTCCGTCAAGAGGCCAAGGAGGCCGAGCACTGGGTGGCCAAGCGGAGCTTGATGGTAATTGTATAAAGCTCCCAGGCTATGTCGGAGATGAGGTAGAGCGCCTAGCCTAGGGTAAAACTTGTACTGCATCTGAGAGGGTAGGCTCTCCTGTGGGGCTAGGGAGCTGGGAACCCATAACTCTCAGCATCAATCTTATACAAACAGATTAGGGTAGAACGTGGACTGCATCTGAGAGAACAGAACAGTGTACGGAAGCTGTCCCCTGAATGAGGCGCAGACAGCTTTAAAACAAGGAACAGTGTTGCACACCCCGACGATAGGCGCCCCTTGACTGGTCGACTGCCGACCCGTCGACCGGTCGGCTGGTGGGCACCTACCGGTCGGGGGTTGTCGGCACCCTACGATGTTTTTATGTTTTTACTTATTTATTTCCCTCCCGGGTCCAGAACTCCTAATAACCTCGCCAACACCCCCATAGTAGCCCCCAATACCCCCATACACCTCCCCAACACCCCCAATCCGCCCCCAACACCC